AATTCGCAGTCATTTTATAAATTAAAAATAACAGATTTTTTTAATTTGTGTGGTTAGAGGGCAGTAATTTTATATTTTTTATTAATTATTTAAAAATAAAATTTTAATTTTAATTTTATCAATTATTTAATAAAAATTATATACATGTAATTGGTGTTGAAAATAAAATTAATATTTATATTTTTCTATACAAATCATTGAAAAAAGTATACATATATTAATGCCTTCATGCACCTGACTTTCTGACCTAGTGGCAACTGCCACAATCAAAGGTGCATCCCCCTCCCCTAGGTGAGTTCAACCCGCCCCATGATCATTGTTCAAAAAATATATATATATATATATATTAATGCCTTCATAACTTCTACCTTTAAATAACAGGTTTAACAAACCCTTTCATAATTAGTGCTAATAAATAAACTTACTGGCAGCGACTAATGGTTTTTCCATGTTTTCTAATCAGAAATGGGGAGAAGTCATTATATACATGGCTACTTTATCTAATATCATTCTACATGATTCATGCTTGAACCAGAACACAGTTACACTTAACCCAACACATGAAACGTGCTCAGCGGCCTCATCACCATGCCAGTGGCCAGGTTATTGACCGCCCAAAAGTGGTGAGGTGATTAAAATTTGTAAAATATTATTTTTAAAAAATTAATTTTATTTAATTAATAAAAATAAAAAAATTATAATTATAATTATTAATTAATAAAAATAATTTATATTTTAATTAATAAATTAAAATTAATTAATACATTAATATTTTAAATATTATTTAAAAAAATAAAAATCTTAACATTTTTAATAATGGACAATAATCACAACCGATCACTAGTGTGATCATACTTTTTTCGTACATGATTTTTTTTTTTTTTTTGGTATATTATCTTTTTCTTGCATGAAGGTTGCTTTTTGATGGTCGTTTTTGCCTTGATTTATTGGTTTTGATATTTATCATACATTTTTGCCAACGGTTCTGATATTTATAAATACTACAAAAACAATGATGGTTAAGACTAATTAATTTTTAGAATTAAAATTTAAAACAAATTGATGGTTACGATTAATTATATTAGGATTTCATAATTAAGAATTAACATAATTAATAGTTAAAAAAGTTTCATCCCAGAATATATTCACTACTTAAATTTCGTCCAAAAATCAATTACTCATAGCAATTATG